GACTTGGTTTGTTTGGTTTGCCTTATTCACCGTGAATGTTGAGCATTACATTCAGATATACTTTGGTTGAATATATTTTGTAGCAAATTAAAGAATATACCGAGTCTGATAATGTGCTGAGAAGTGAGAACATTACGAGTATATGATAATGTGAAGTACTGAAATGGGAGCGAATGTGTTGTCCAAGTGCAAAAAGAGAACAAAAAAGCAAAAACTGAACGTCCCAATAGACAGCTCTATTCCGTTCATGTTATTTTGATCAGATTGACCCAAGCCTGTTTAACTTTAACATATGTTGCTTTTGAGTTATGCACACCTACCGGCTACCCCCGGCTTTGTTCCAATCCTCATTTTGAGATTTCTAAAAGAGATTAACAGATCAACTCGAGTCTAGATGAGGCAGACCTAGTCATATGCATAGTGCCCCCGATTCCCCGAATCATTGTGGACACCGCATCCCTTTGATAGCACTTTTTTCCAAGTTATCTGTACGCTAAGGGGTTAACAGATCTATAGTACGTTTTTCTAGCAATAAGTAAAACTGATTGAAGCTGTTGTAAATGACTACTATAACTTTTTGTTATAGTATTCTTCTCTTCCGTTTATCCATAAAATACATTTTAATTATTATTTCTTGTTATTCAACAATTCAATAGTATCAGCCATTTTTTTTACAATGACTCAATTTTACAGTTTCAACATAATTCACCCTTACCGAACAAGTTTTGAATGTGTTAAGATCTGGGATTCCATCCTAAAAGATCAACCTGATAGGAGGAGTAGTTCATGTCTTAATATAGTACTTTGTTGATTCAAAGTTTTCCGGTGTGAGATTCTAACAGAATGTTTTGTAGGTATAGACAAACTATTTATTGCAATGTGTGTGTGTCTAACAATGGTAGCAGTAAAAGAGTCCACTAATATAAACCAATAAAAATGGAGCCTAGCAAAAATGTGAAAACCACCCTTACTGAACATTTGAACCCCAAGACTCAAGGGTTTTTGTCAATTTTGCTCAAAATGGTAATGTGTGTATTTGGATTGAATCGTCCAAAGAAAACTGTTGAGTGTTGACTGTTGAGGGTATGTTTGGATGCAGGGTTGGAGGGAAAGGCTTTGGATGTCTTAGTCTACACCTTGAAGTACATCTCAGGTTTAAAAAAAAACTGGAAGATTAAAATATTACTCCCCCTGTACATTCAGATTTGACCCATTTTTTATGCAAATTAAGGGCAACTGTACACATTTTAAAAGGAAGAAAATAATTTTGGGTTCCACAAAAAGGTACAAAGTGGAATGCATTCAAATTAGGGAAGTAATCACAACTTGGGAGGGACAAGTACAGAAAGTGTTTCAAACAAAATGAAACAAAAAGATAGCAGTACATGATTGCATCTAATTGTATTAATCTTCTTGATCAGAATAAAGTACGTAGTATATAAGAATTCCGCCAAATTTAGAGGGTGAACAGCTAGACATAGCATGATTAGCATTTAGCACTTCTGATATTACTGGGGAAAACAAAAATGAAACCAGGCAAGGCAAACAGTGTAGCATCACATAGATGATGAATGAAGGGAAGAGGTAGTGGGTGGTGGGACTTTGAAATATCAAATAAACCTATAAAGCCCAAAAAGATGAAGATGTGATTTAGCAAATACATTTCAGAAATTAGGTAAAATCAGCATTGATTCAATATTGGAGTTGTGAACATTTGCAATTGAGATATGTGAAACACTGCCATTTTCACTACATAGAAATGCCTAAAGCTATCCGAGATTGAAACCATTTACCAAACAGTCCATTTGACTATTCCAGAAGCCAGTTCAATTCGGGTTTACTAAGCATTAACCCAAAGCAAGGAAGCTCATACCCTAGCATAATCACCTCTAGGGCTATCCAAGACATCAATCAGTCCTTCGTAAGGTGAAGCCTCTTGATCCTCTGGAGCCCTCAAGGAGGCGTGCACACAAGCTACAACAACTCCGATGGCCGCCGAGATGAACACATTACTCCAAACTCTGGACGCGAACATTGCGATCAGAGAGATCAAACAGAGAAACCCTAAGATGATGCGGTCATCGATGTCGAAGCCGAATAGCTCTAGAGGCTCAGATCGGGACAGATAGAGGTAGATCCATGAAGCGGATATGGCAAGGAAGAAGATGAGAGTGAGGGGTCGGGAGATGAGGCTGACAAGAAGGATGAAGAACAAGAGAACGACGTAATTCCCGACGAAGTACCTAATGTTATGGTTGATCCGATAGGTAGCGTCTGATAAGGAGATAGGGAGGCTTAAAGCTGCAGAGTCCGCGAATTGGTGCCATGGACGAAGAGGAATGGCGGTTGCTGATGGTGGAGACGACATTCGTGGTGGATGGTGCGAGCTTGTGGACCAGCTGGGGAATGAGAGTTGGGAGTGATACTGATGCCTGGCAGTTGACCGTAGTCTACAAATGAGATCCGCACTTTTTTATAAAAATATGCTGACTTTTTTGCAGAAACCTTAACCACACAATTTTTACTTTATTAATCTTCATACCGGTCAAACATGACAAAGTTTTAAGGGACGAAGGAAGTATCATTTGAATGTATCAAAAAATAAAGGGAAAGGGTAACATAAACGCTCGAAGTTACATAAAAAGTGCAAATCATCCTTATATTGGAGATTCTGTCTGACCGTCATTATTTGGGGCGGTTTTCGGTGAAATTTTTTAATGAAATTTTTTGAGCACTTTCTTCATTAAGTCTAATTTACTCATACCAAATTTCAGCTAAAAATTCAATCGGGAAGACAGTCAAATGATTTCCTAAAATACATTGTGCAGTTTAACTGTGCAATTATCTTCAAAAATTTATTTGACTACCTTCCCGATTGAAGTTTTAGCTTAAATTTGGTATGAATAAAATAGACTTAATGAATAAGATGCTCAAAATATTTCATCAAAAATTCCACCGGGAACCGCCCCAAATGACAATGGCCGAACAGAGCCTCCTATATAAGGGGTAATTTGCACTTTTTGTGTAAGTTCGAGGGTCTATCTCACTCTTTTCCCAAAAATAAACAATAATGGTCGGTGTAAAAAATAAACAATAATGGTTGATATTTGATAAAATAAAATCAGCCTGTGAACAAAATTTAGTTTGCAGATTGATTAAAACACTTGTTTGTAGATTTGTCAGGTTGGTTGTACTGAAACCAATGCCAGTTTACTCAAACAAAAGATGTATGAGTACTTTTGTCTGTACTAACAACTAAGATAGAGTCAAGTTATATACTTGTATGTGACTCAAAAAAGAATATTACACACATAGTTTACATGATTTTTGTGTACACACATGTCTTTGTGTACAAAGACATGGTTTGCATGTAAATCACATAGTTGTAAATCACATACAACTAATGACCAAAAATGTCAGGGTAGTTGCATGAGAACCAATGTCTTTATACATAGACATTATTTGTTAGTTGTCTGTATATACAAAAAAGTGTTTGTACATATACAGGCATTTGTTTCAGTGTAACCGAACTCTGACTTTTTATAACATTTTTTATCTGTGCACATCGACACTGGAAGAAAAATAGTGTATGTATACAATGACTCCATTTATTTTCAGGTGAACTTCTGGTGACTATAACTCTGACGATAATCATGGTAGGTGAGATCAAAGATGACACAATACGACATGGACACAAAATATGACATGTTGAAAATGGCGAAGATTAAAGATGTTGGATAGGGGGATGATGAGGGCAGTGTGAATGGGGGAGGAGGAGAGGAGATGAATAAAAGAAGGGATGAGAGGAGCAAATAAATAGCATGTACATCATGGTGTACTTATGATGTACCTCTACCATTTTTGAAAAATAAATCTTGCGTATGTTACTTCTTTTGTCATTGTTTACAGTGAAATTGACGACAAATGTTTAAAATTCATATTTTCGTATTATTAGTTTTACTTTTATGGCTAATTGGTTGAAGTTGTGTAGACGATCATTTTAATTATTTTTCATGTTTTTATATTTATTTCATTAATAAAATACATGTTAATTTTTTTTTTCATATTTCAACAGATTGAGCAAATTCAAATATTTTAGCCTCAGTTTCATCAATTCCCACATACTCAGCAGATTTAACAAATCCCTATGTTAAAAATAAATATCATAATAGTAAATATTTTTGTCGATTAACAAATCATATGCCTTGGTTGCCAAAAAAAACAAATCATATGGTTTTCATGACTAGGTTCTTTGGTTTCTTGCTGGTTTTGTATCTTTTTTTTTTTTTGAACCGGCTGGTTTTGTATCTTTGGCGAGCGCCAGGATTTTTGGTTGATTTGGTTTCCTCAATAATTTTATATTTTCTTTAGCGGTTTTCTTTAGATTTCATTAGCGGATGTAGTGGTGGACCGGTTCCGGGCCGGGCCCGGTTCGGGCCTTGAACCGGTCGGGCCTCGGTTCAAGGTAGGGGAGGCCCAGAACCGGCCCGGGTAACCCCGGGTCCGGTCCGGGTCGGGCCGGGTCCGGTTCCGATTTTTTTTTTTTTTTTGGGTTTTCCTAATCAACCCCCTACCCTCCCTCTCAACCCCAAACCACCTCAAATGGCCCAAAATAACCAATCCAACCCAAAAACTTAAAAAAAAAATAAAAAAAAACAAATTAAATCCGGCCCGGACCGGGCCCGAACCGGCCGGGCCAGTTCACCAAAATGAAGGCCCGGGCCCAGAACCGGTAGCCACCGGGCCAGGTCGACCCGAACTGCCCATGGGCCGGGCTGCCGGGCCGGGCCAGGCCGGTTCAAACAGTGACCGGGCCGGGCCAGTTTTGGGTCGGGCCGCCCGGTCCGAGTCCATCCCTAAGCGGATGTACTTTTTAATTTTTATTACCAAGTTCTTTAATAAAACTTTATTTTTTGCTAAAAAAAATTACATTAACTGGCACTTTTTGTTATCGCTTTTTGCCAAACAATACTATCTCATTCAAACAAAAACAAAAGTCCCTGGTTCAAACATTAGCCTCCAACTCCAGACCATTGTGCCAAACATAACAAGTCTAGTTTGAGGTGGAAAACAATTCAAATGAAAACATCATTCATTTACATCAATAGTTATGTACAAACGCTGTCCACACCGTACAATTGATATTCCTACCAATTAATCCACTATGCAGTTCATAGAGCAGAACTGCAGAAGCCTTTGAAAATCCAAGGCAGATATTCATAAACTTAAACCAATGACAAAATTAGATGAGATTAAGTAACCAATACCAAAATCATAAAGCTATCAAGAGCTTCCCATTTGTAAAAACAGACCAAGTACAATCACTCCGCCATCAACTGTCTGTAAGCTCAAATGAAAACTAGTTTCACTATTACATGTGTTGAGAGAAATAGAAATATTAATTAAAATAGATCTGATGTTTCCCCAAAAAGCAGAACTCTGAAATGAGTTGCATCACTTCAGCGGGATGAACCTTGATGAGTGAGTAGCACCAATACCGGGCCTACCATGCTTGACAGGCTTGTATGAAATGGAGAACTCAGCCAAGTAGTGCCCTATCATCTCCGGCTTCACTTCAATCTGGTTAAAGGTTTTCCCATTATAAACTCCAATAACACTACCAATCATCTCTGGAACAATAATCATGTTCCTCAAATGAGTTTTCACTGGATCCGGCTTCTCCCCTTGTGGGGCCTCTAGTTTCTGCATTAATTGTTTATATCAAACAGCAAGCTGTAATCAAATTTGGCAAAACCTTATAGGACTGTAAGTTAAGGTGTACTTGAGAGGCGAAAAAATGTTTGGTAAACGAAAAAAAGAAAAAAAATTATACGTGAGGTTATTTTTTCAATGTAATGTCTCTTATAGGACAGAAAACACCGAGGACAACAACATATACTACGCATTTTAGATGATCTTTTAAATATTTTAGGTTTGTACTAGTGCTGGACTCGGGCCGGTTCGGGCCCGGTTCGGGCCTGGGCCCGGCCGGGCCTCGGGCCAGGAAAGGGAGGCCCGAGCCCGAACCGCCGGTGGCCGGTTCCGGTCCCGGGCCAAACCAGGCCGGGCCGAACCGGCCCAATTAATTTTTTTTTTTTTGTTCTCCTATTTAATCCCCTACCCCTCCCCCTCAACCCCAAACCATCCCAAACCACCTCAAATGGCCCAAAATACCTAATCCAACCTAAAACTTAAAAAAATTCAAAAAAAAAAAAATTAAAATCCGGCCCGGACCGGGCCCAAACCGGCCGGGCCGGTTCACCAAAACCTGGGCCCGGGCCCGAACCGCCCAGCAGCCGGGCCGGGCCGAACCGAACCGGCGGACCCACCGGGCCCCGGGCCGGGCCAAACAGTAACCGGGCCGGGCCAGTTCCGGGCCGGGCCGCCCGGCCCGAGTCCAGCACTAGTTTGTACACAGCAAGCTGCACTTAAAATAAGTTTGAGCAAACATAAAAATAAAGTAATAAAGTTCAATACATTACTTCATTTCACTCGCATTTTCATTACATATGATTATTTTCACGACTAATTTACTTCCATCTCATATTTTTCAAGTACTAGACAGACCCTAGTTGAACTATATTAGGAATTCAGGGGAGTTCAATTTGCCATGAGCAAAAAAACAAATATAGGGCCATCCTCTCACTTATGCAGTGAACTTGATGCTGAGTGTTGAAGGAATGCCCATAAATTAATATCCGCCTATCACATCAAAGATGCGCCACAAAATAATACCCTCTCTGTGGAATACCACCCCACCCCTTCTTTCACGGGGAAAGGGCTCGGCCTTAGGCGTTTCTCAAATCATTTACGGATTCAAAACTACAAAAACATATAAGTAACCTCTGACATAAGCCTTCATAAAATTTTAAATTTAGCAGATTAATAAGATCTGAGCTCGGGGACTACTCCAACTTACTTAAGGAAACGGCTTGAGCTATAAAACAATAATTCTTCATCAAGGATAATTTTGTAAAAACACCTCTAAAGTCCTTACTAAAAACCAATGAAATGGACCCACAAATTCATAAATCATGGTATGAATGTTATGCATTTCTAACACGGATCAACAGTTACAAACTCAGAACTATCAGTTAAAAGATACTATCTAGAATACATGTACCTCATTTATAATAATAATAATAATAATTTGGAATAAGATGCTACTCCATCCATCCCTCTAAGATTGTACCATTTTTTACTTTTCAACCTGTCTTACTAAGATAGTCGAGTACTAAATTTGGTGATTTTTGCGTGATTCTAAATCGTTCTAATTGTGTTCTTACTTTTTGAGTTCTGTATCAACCACATAACTTACTTTTCTTAATAAGAAAAACACCTCTTGATGTACCTAAGTAAGGGAACGGAGGTCATATATATCAAAATTTAGTGACATAAGAGGAAGGGAAAATATGAGCATACCGCTTTGCGAAGCTTCTTAATCAAAGCCAAAGGCTTTCTTTTCAAACCTCTCCCAAGCCTATCATTCCACACAAACGAAATCAATTCAAAAACAACATTGTACGTAGTATAAGCGAAGCATCAAAATAGTTTCAGAACAGGAGCCACCGCATACTTTCTGCGGGCACGGGCACTGAAGAGCTTGACGAGATCATCAGTAGACATATCAAGGAGGGCATCAAGATCCACACCTCTGAAGCTGAACTTCTTGAACGTTCTCTTCTTTGGCTGCCCTGCCGCTACATCGTGTTCTACGTCAGCCTGTTATCAAAATCCATATATTATTTCGTGAACATATAGATTCAGAAACAATCAACCACAGTCGTGGCAATAGACATATAGATTGAGAGATGCATTAGAATAGACTTCTACCATTGCTGGTTGCACGAAAGATGCAAGCTTCGGTGCTACTTTCTCAGGAAGAATGAGGCCGGCTGCTAGGTTTCCTAATGTAGTCGGTCTTCATTATATGTGTATCATGCTCGGTAATAATCAGCAATTCTATTTCGGACCTAGGGTTTAAGATTCGGGTGGGCTGGATAATCAAGTTATATGGGCCTGATCCGAGCTTCATATGGAATGATGCCTTTTCTAGTTGGGACTTTAGAAAAAACACTAATGCTAAAGTCACCCCATTTTGTACCCCCTCATATGTTTGTGGTTCACAAAAGCAATGAGTAAAAATGGAGCAATTATTTTAATTGGGTTAGATTTTTGTGAGCCACAAAACATAGGATGAGGTACAAAATGAGGTAGAAAATGAGGTACCTCTACCATTTCTCTAGAAACAATGCTACTTTCGCATTAAAGAATGTGAAATTATTAAGAAAAATGTGAGTTCATGTTATTGATATCAAATTGATAAAGTAGGAATAAAATAAAAATGATTTAAAGTCACGTAAATTTTACCAAATTTGGTATGAGATAATTTTAGTCGGATTCAGATAATTTTACCAAAAAAAACTCAAACATAAACATAGTATCATATTCAATATTTTCTAAACAATGTGACTAATAGGACATTTATTATGTCATTCTAGTGTCCAATAATTTTAGTCCTATTGAATCCAACCCTAAGCACATGCTGCTGCAATGTTGCACCAGAGCTGGTGACCCGCGATCGCTGCCGTAAGTTTTCACTACCGACTAGTGAAAGTTTCTCATCATCAAAATACATGTTACACCATCGCCTTGGTGACCTGTAATCAGTAGTCCACTGCCTTCACTAGTGCCCCACCATTGCCCCACATGCCTACTCCAGCTACCAGCCCCACCCCATACTCCCGCATGCATACCCCCATATGCCCCGACCAATAAAACCAGCCCCCAATCGTTAACCTACCACCATCACCCACCCTAGTTGCCCAGCCCATCACCCCTAGCTTCCATCATCACCACATCTTGTAATCCTAACCATCGACTTTGGTCTACCCTTTGTTCCAATTCACCGGAGCAACCTATTGAGTGCTCAATAGAGATGTTCTTTTGCCATTTATCCTGTGAAACTAACACTACAACACTCCTAACATCGCAGAAGATAACAAATTAGTTTTAAGGACATTGTGTGTTGCAGAAACTTTGATTGTTTCTCTGCTCATTCTGTGGTGTAGTGAAGTCGAAAAGCTTGAAAGTATATGGTGTAGACTGAGGTAGATTGGATATTTTTACTATTTTTATTTATAAATATTTATTTTGGAGCCTTTATTTTGTAGAATTTCTCTACAAAAATAATACTACGTATTACCTCTGTCCCGCTAAGATTGTCTCGTTTTACCATTCCGGCCTTTCTCATTAAGATTGTTTCTACCTTATTTGATAAAGTTTGTGTGACACTAAATCATTCTTACTTTATTCTTACTTTATCAATTCAATATCAACCACATAAATTACTTTTTATAGATTTTTGTCACTCCCTCTTATCCCATTGTTAGTGGGACGGAGGGAGTATCAAAGAGTGAAGTCACCAGGACATAGCTCATCTGGTAGGAAGAGTGTGCCATAAAGGAGAGATTCAAGATTAAATTCCAAACAATAACTTGAGATGAAACTGATACCCTTTTAATTAGAGTATAATTAAAACTGAACTAACACTTCCTTGGTCCATTCTAAAGTCCAAGTCTCATTTGATGGAACTTGTGTGTCATCCTTACTCTAAAATCAGAGGAACGGTGTGTCACCCTAGTAGTTTAAACTTTAAAGGGGAAAAGGGGCAAATCAGGTCACGTACTAACCAAAAAAAGGTCAAATAAGGCCTTATTTATGAGGCTCTGTCCGGCCTTCACCATTTGGGGTGGTTCTCGGTGGAATTTTTTGATGATTTTTTTAGCATCTTATTCATTAAGTCTAGTTTACTCATACCAAATTTCATCTAACAATTCAATCGGGAAGGCATTCAAATGAATTCTTGAAGATAACTGCGCTTTTAACTGCGCAGTTATCTCCAAGAATTCATTTGAATGTCTTCCCGATTGAAGTTTTAGCTGAAATTTGACATAAGTAAACTAGACTTACTGAATAAGATGCTCAAAAAATTTCATCAAAAAATTTCACCGGGAATCACCTCAAATGGCGATGGCCGGACAGAGACTCTTAAATAAGGCCTTATTTGACCTTTTTTGGTTGGGTAATTCTATTCACAAACCTAGAATTACTATTTACAGCCACAAAATAAACAAAATATCTATCCTACCCTTCCACCTAAATAAAGCCCTCTCCAAAATATTCTTGTGGAGCCTCCACTCGTTCAGACCATGGTTCTCCAAGAGGAAGGAAGACCTCTCTTCTGTTCGGTTCATTCCACATCGAAGAAGAAAAACTCAAGGTCTGGGAAAGCCTCCAAACGATATTCATGTTCAAGTGATTGGAGCAGTACTCTTGAGGATTGCATTGATCTGCTCAAATTCATTGAAAATCTTCATTGATAAGAAAAATCCAAAGTCTAAGAAGAAAAACTCAAGTTCTGGGAAGACCGCTTTCTATTTGGAAACACCGATAACTTAACTGTTGTTTGGTTTTGGGCATCGCAGGGACATCATCACTATTGGAGCAGTACTCTTGAGGATTGCATTGATCTGCTCAAATTCAGTGCAAATCTTCAAACTATAGGATGCGTAGAAGAAACTATCGTTTTGTGTTTGGGTGAAGAATATTTTGGAGCTTTTGTAAAACGTTGTTGATTCCCACTTTGCAGTATGAAATTGTTGAAGAGGGTGAACATTTTTGGAGAAGGCGATTCCCAAAATATTTTGGAGTGAACTAACAATGTTGCTGATTCCCACTTTCCAGTTTGGGTGAACTATATTTTGGAGAAGGTGAACATGGAAGTAGCAGTCTTTTGATATGATGAAAGAGAAGAGCTATGGCCTGTGGGGGCGTATGAAATTGTTGAGATGAGTACCAAGACCGAGAATAAAGTGAAGAGCTATGGCCTGTGGGGCGGATGATGATGGCGACCGGGCGGACCGGCATTGCTGCTTTATTGTTTGCAAGTTTCACCAGGCTACGCACTCACTTTGAAAAGGGCAAAGTGGGAATTATAAAAATTTGTGTGTATTTAGTAAAAATGGGGTGCATATAGAATTACACTTTTTGATTAATACGTGACTTTATTTGCCCCTTTTATCAATTTAAAGTGAAATTGAGGTCGGTAGTATTTGAGGAACTCAAGTCTCATTTGTTAAGTTCTGTTCTTATTCTAGACTCCCAAGTCATTAGAAGGGACAATATTGGATCTTCGATCAAAACTCTATGGGCCTAGAGGATCTGAGTCACTGACGTCGATGGAATATCTTCCCCTTCACCGCTGCAAAGTTCACAAATGGCAAGCCTTCATCCACAGAGCCCATGCCTTCATTCACACTGCAGCTTTATTATCCATCTTTTACTACAGGCTCTCTTCCCCCTTTTTACCTGCTGCTTTACCCTGGCTTCTGGTATCTGTTTCCGAGATATTTTTATCCTTTCTCTGGCTCTCCAGCGCTGCCTTCACATGGCGGCCGGTCACCCGGACCGTCTTTCCCGAAAGGTTGCCGCCCGGAAATGAGCTCCCGGGCATCGACGTCTTCGTCTGCACGGCGGATCCTAAGAGGGAGCCAGCTCTGGGAGTGATGAACACGGTTTTATCAGTCATGGCTCTTGACTACCCACCGGAGAAGCTTTCCGTTTATCTCTCCGATGACGCCGGAGCTTCCGCCACGAGGCGCTCCCTGCGGGAGACGTGGTGGTTCGCTCGGACTTGGGTTCGGTTCTGCAGGGAGTTTCGCGTGAGAAGCACGTGCCCGGAGGCCTTCCTTTCCGATCCGCTTGCTGGCACTGACGCCGGCGCTGAGTTCTTAGAAGAAACAGAAAGAATTAAGGTCCGTATAAAATTCAATTTCCCAGCCAGAAATCTCCTCAGGCCGTTTAAAATAGTCAAAATAGTAGCAGGTATACTTTGGCGTGCTCTATGCATTTTGTCTGATTTTGACTACTTGGTAAGTTTAAGCCCACTAATTAATATCAGAGCGAATATGAGAAATTCAAGGAGCAGTTGAGAGTCATTGGAGAGTCAAAGGAAATGGATATGAATGCTCAAAATCACTCTTCCTCAGTTGAGGTAACCTCTCACTCGTACATATGGATGAACCGAGTGCATTGAATATGGATTGTGGTATATTTTTTTTTTAATACATGGACTTTTAAAAAAGTCAATGAACTTATAAATCCATAGACTTTTGGAAAAATTGACAAAAATTTCAGCTAAATAACTGGACAGTTAACTGGACAGTTCATACACAGAAACTGCCCAATAAACTTCAAGAAATTATTTGAGTGCCTTCCCGATTGAATTTTTAGCTGAAATTTGGTATGGATAAACTAGACTTCATGAAGAACATGCTCAAAAAATTTCATCAAAAAATTCCACCGGGAAGTGCCCGAAATGCCCTCGGCCGGACGGAGCATCCCGTCAGGCCGGCCTGACATGAAGATTTGTCTATATATATATATAAGAAAATTTAATGTAGAAAAAGATGGAGTATTGCTTTTTTATTCGCAACATTTTTAATTTATTATATTGGGACTACTAAAAATAGAACAACCATACTTAGAATTATTATACATACATTTCCTTTTTTAAATATGAACAACTGTCAGGGGCCGTCTTTAGGAATTTTTGGGCCCTAGGCATGAACTAAAATATATCTGCATGTTAGTGAAACTTGTTAGATATTAGTATAAGAGAGTCTCGTTCTTGTCCAGCCGGACTGACGGGAACCGCCGTCCGGCTGAGGGCATTTCAGGCACTTCCCAATCGAATTTTTTGATGTTTTTTGAGCATGTTTTTCATCAAGTCTAGTTTATCCATACCAAATTTCAGCTCAAAATTCGATCGGGAAGTCATTCAAATCATTTTTTGAAGTTGACTGCGTCAAAATATACATATAAAAACGCAGTCAACTTCAAAAAATGATTTGAATGACTTCCCGATCGAATTTTGAGCTAAAATTTAGTATGGATAAACTAGACTTGATGAAGAATATGCTCAAAAAATTTCATCAAAAAATTCGATTGGGAAGGGCCCGAAATGTCCTCGACCGGACGGCGGTTCCCGTCAGGCCGGCTGGCCGGACATGAAAAGTCCTCTAGTATAAGATATCATTTACAGATTAACTGTTTAAAATTTTGCATTAAAATTTAGATTTTATATATTTTTAACGTAAATTGAAATTTAATATTTCAAATCTTCATTCAACGTAATAGTTTTGCAAAAAGTGCTCACCATGAAATTGAATTTGAGTAAATTCTTATGGCAACAGAGATACGAAATTATGTTCTCTAACTTCAGTATTGACGGCCTTTCGTTTTTGAAACTGAAAAAAAAAAAAAAACACTTGAAAAAAATGGTAAATTGGACAAATGACCTATTGTGTATAATCTTCCGTCTTTGTAATACCAATCAGGCTAATTACAGATGAATCTTGTGAAGATTGTCTTTTTTTATTTAGATTTCGGAATTTTGTGAGGCTCATAGTCTTAACTATTATTCTTTTATAGAGTCCTACCCATTACGACCTCTGGCCTAAAAACTTTACCATTTTCAAAACATTGATCAACTATATAGTTTTATTAGAAATTATTTACTCCCTCCGTCCCAATATAAAAGACACACTTTTCTTTTCGGGACGTCCCAATATAAAAGGCACATTTCCCTTTTTGACAAACAAAACAGTGCAAAACAATGTCCAAACAGTGTCAAACAATGTCCAAACAGTGTCAAACAATGTTCACCTTAAAAATGTGTGGAAACGAAAATGTGTCTTTTTATATTGGGACGGAGGGAGTATAATATAAAAATAAATGAAAATGTTCTTTGTTAAAAGTACTTTCATAAAAGTATAAAATTTATATTATATTATTCAAAATCACGGTCCAAATTTTATGAAATAAAAGTTTTTTTGGGATGAAGGTAGTATTATTTTACTTCACCAATTTTTATGTTGTGTTAGGGATTAGAGAATTACTAATGATTAAATTGATTATTGAAGGAGTTGCACTATTCTATCAGCTAGGCCATGTGATATACTACAGTACATATTTTATTTAATTTTTTTTGTCAGACAAGAGTTCTTTTTTTTTAAGTTGGTCAAACCTCTAAGTGGACTTTTTAGTTAGTATGTATGTAGTACGGAGTATTATTATACGTAAAAGTAATATAATCTGTAGTTCTTAATGGTGCCCTATAGATTGGTCAAAAAAAAAATGGTGCCCTATAGATTGATGGTGCCCTAGGCATTTGCCTAGGTGCCTCCCATCTATGGACGGCCCTGACAACTGTTGCTTGATCACGAACATGCTCAAAAAATTTGGATCGAAAAATTACACCTGGAAGGCCCTCAAAACGTGGAGGCCGCACGGCGGTTCCGGTAAGGTATACCTTACCGGAAGATTTTCCTGTATATATATAATGACATTAATGATCAAAATTTACACATTTGGAAACTATGCAAGAAATTCTATTGAATTGTGAAAACTGAAGTCGATAATGATAAAAGATGTATTATAAGGAGTACAAACTTTGAGATGAAAAGAGAGGTAAGTTTACTGGGAACCTTAAACTGGAACACGAGGAGTATTAAGTATTTATATGCTGAATGTAGTACCATGTCCATTTATTTTTGATTTTTTTCACACTCTTTGTTTTCCTCTTGAATTTTAGTCATCTGAATTAGATATAGGTTGAGCACTAAACTTCCATCAACAGGAAGTCAGGAAATAATTGAATGTTTGTATAGTGAAGGAGTAGCAGTATAAATATGACACCATGTCATGTATGTAGATAATAGGTGAAGGCAGCTTTGACGCAGCAAATGGAAGCAAAGATGACATGCCCCTTGTTGTGTACGTTTCCCGTGAGAAAAGACCTCTACACTCTCATCATTTCAAAGCCGGAGCTCTCAATGTTCTGGTATTTGGTATCCCTGTGATTAGTCTTAGTTGGCGTAACAATTGAGCAGTTAATCGCTGGGAATTAATTGTGTGTGTGTGTATTGGCAGCTCCGAGTGTCTGGAATGCTGAGCAACTCTCCTTATATATTGGTGTTAGATTGTGACATGTACTCTAATGACCCTTCGTCAGCTCGTCAAGCTATGTGTTTCCATCTTGATCCTGCCATCTCTTCTTCATTAGCCTTTGTCCAATTTCCTCAGAAGTTTCACAATCTTAGCAGCAATGACATCTATACTTCGGCCTTGGCCTCCATTTTTGAGGTATTTATTTTCTACTTCACATCTTCTGTTCAAGCTCCATGTGGGTAATCACTTGGTGAATGTAATCGGTCACTCCTGTATTGACATATTTCATATTGATCACCTACAGTGACCTATTTTTCCCAATAAAGTGTTCCAGTACTGGAGTTGGACACATAGCTCATGAGGCTCATCTATTCGCTTTCTTAATGGCAATTGGATGTATCAACAAGCTAACAGTTTTACACATAATTTATTTTCTTATTCTGTCTATCGAAATGTCATTTAAAAACTTACAGTCATTTTTTGTGAGGGTTACCAACACTTTATGTATGCATAGTGTAATTAAGTGAATTAGTGGGACTTAATTCTAACTACTATAGTACTATGAAGTGTTGTGAAATGGAGATGGGCTGAGTTTTGGGTGGTACTTATACGGAGTATTTCTCTTTATTTTGTTACGGTTTATCAGGTCAAGTGGAGAGGCATGGATGGGCTTAGAGGGCCAATCATGTCTGGTACATGCTTTTACATTAAGAGGAGAGCATTATACAATGGGGCTAATATAATAAAAAAGGGTATGTTATGTGTCCCATTGCAATATGAATGATTAATTCTTGAAAATGGTTATTACCCAAAAATGCTATGACCAAATACCATGGAATACATCTATTCTCATATTGATTCTTCATCCATGTTAAACTTCGTAATGAAATTAAGAGCCTTTTTGCTAACACTAAAATTGGCTCAACCAACTAAATTTGTTGAGATTCGTGGAATTCTAGTTGAAGTGGCATAATCTCCTGAATTATAAAAAAAAAAATTAAAATGTATTTTATTAACAAAACAAAGAAAAAATTATATGAAAGTTACTTAAAATAGCCTTTTAAAGCAAATTCAGCCAATTATGTCGAAAAAGGAACTCAAACCTTGCTTATTTTGATTGCTAAGCAATTCAACGTATGGGATCAAAGGTTACATGTTACTTAAAAGTTGACAGACAAGGCTCATAAGTGGAAAACATGGTTTACCAAATGGGCTCTATCTCTAATTCCTTATCAAAACTTCAGCTGTTAATTTGCATATATTTTAATGTAATTACTTAATCGGGATAATTGACAAAGTTCACTACTACTAATGGCATTAGGAGTACTCCTATAAGCAAGTAAATAAGCAGATAGCGACTAATTCAGCAGATTCCACCATCACACATTCACACTTATCAAGCTAGTTGCCTAGTTCCAGTTCTTCTTGCATGCTTGTAGCATCTGTTTTAATTAGATATGTTCTTCACTCTACATACAATAAAAACTTTTGAGTTTACGTATGTGTGCTGGATTTATGACCGATCCCAACAGGTATGGACATTTCTGATCTCAAAGACTGTTTTGGTCATTCAAATGAGTTCACGAGTTCACTTACCAGAAGCAGCCACAGAAATAGCGTAAGAGGTAACACAGAGTGGACGAATACACTGCTCAAAGAGACACATTTTGTAGCCTCTTGTGGATATGAGAAAGATGCACAATGGGGCAAAGATGTAAGTGCTAAGTTCCTTGTATGCCTAAAAAGGTGGACCAAAGTTTCTACTTCATTCAAATTCAATTCAAAATAACTAACATCTACTCCATATTTCAGAAGTGTCTAGTTCCTACAGCTAATACTTTAAGAGTGAAATGCAATGTAATACTTTAAGAGTGAATTTAATTTCCTAAAAAAAACGATACTCCGTGTGTAAAGCATTCCTCCTAACTTACTCATAATTCCTAAATGATTGCTTTTATGTGGTGTCAATATGAACACCTTAGATAAGTTGTGAAGGGTGATAGCTTTCTCTTGGATTACATACAGATCGGTTTTATGTATAACTCAGTGGTGGAGGATTACTCAACAGGGTTTATGTTGCACTGTAGAGGGTGGATCTCAGTGTTTTGCAACCCGAACCGGGCAGCATTCTTGGGTAGCACCACAACAAACTTGAATGACACATTGATCCAGGGCACAAGGTGGAATTCTGGCTTGCTGGATTGCTTCCTTTCAAGATTCTGCCCTCTTATTTATGGATTACCAAGACTACCCCTACTTGAGTGTTTATGCTACACGCATTTGGCATCTCAGCCTCTCTACTGCTTACCGGCTTGGTGTTTAGCCACTGTGCCTCAGATCTGTCTCTTAATTGGCCTCCCAATATACCCCAAGGTATCATCAGACTACTTTTCTAATAAGACTCTTTTAAAAGTGCATTGCCTAACCTCCCTAGGAGAACCTAAATTTGCTTAAAAGCAAATCTGTGTAGAGACGCCTAGCTAGTAAAGCATTTGAAACTATGCTTTCCCAACTTCATTGGACAAATGTTGGGACATACTACCTCCGTCCGAAATGAAGTTCTCATTCACTATTCACTCGGTCAACTTAAATTAGTCTTAATCTTTTACTTTATGTATCAAATTTTTATCGAATTTAAATTTTCTTGATCAGACTTTGTATAATATTTAATGTGTTATCTGAATATGTAAATTTTATTTACTAAAAATAATCTGAGTGTAAACAAGGATCGAGTTGCTTTATCGTCAGTCAAACATCGTAAACCGAAACAAAAACTTCTTTATGGGATGGAGGGAGTAATTAAGTTTGTCTTGACCGAATAAGTGTATACAGTATGCAAGAGTAGGCTTTCCGTTGAGGAGTGTTTGCAATTGCTTATTCTTTTTAAAAAATCACTTTTCAAGTGATTTTGAAAAAAAATGCTTAATAGTATAAGTTGGTAATCTCCATAAGGAGAATCTGGTCCCACTTAGATAATCGTTAGAGTACTGCATTTGGATATTTTCTCCAAACTAACCTCTAATAAGGCCGAGTTTCCATGACTATAACTAAATTTGCAGACAATAAAACACTCACGCGTAGGTATTTTCCACGGTGACTAGTGATCTCTAAGGTTCTTAAATTTTGTTATGTGTGTTTTTTATGTCCACATTTAATTAGAGGATATTTTAATTTTCCGGTTCATATTTAATTGATGTATTATTCTGTACACATTCCCTGTTCATTTTTTAAAGGTTTCTAGTTATGATGCAGTAATATTCAACTCTCTTTTTTGGTAGGCTTCAAGTCCATGGTTTATCATATATTCATTTGCTTTTATCTCTCCCTTGGCGAAGTACTTGTGGGACGTTCTCATCACCGGGGGAACTATCCAAACATGGTGGAATGAATGGCGAATGTGGATGATCAAGTCCATAACTGCCTATTTTTATGGCAGCCTAGATGCTATCCTCAAGCTGTGTGGAATCAGAAAAGCCAACTTCATACCAACATGCAAAGTTGTTGATGATGAACAAATGAGAAGGTACCGAGACGGCATATTTGATTTCCAGGCATCATCATCCCTCTTTCTTGTCCCTTTAGTAGCCTTAGTCATACTAAACATGGTGTCCTTAACCTGGGGAATTGCAAAGTTGATCGTGGTTGGAGGATGGAATGAATTCTCCGGCCAAATTTTCCTTTCCTTCTTCATCTTGCTAGTGAACTATCCCTTAGTTGAAGGGATGACGTTTAGGAAGGACAAAGGAGGGATTTCACTTCACATGACATTGTTGTCGGCCTTATATGCTTTAGTTTTTGTGATATTTAGCGTTGCCTTTTGTTATGTATATTAATATATGTTGGCAATTTATTGACAAATATAGCTCAAGTGTTCAACATAGTCCTTGGAGCTTTATCTTAAGTAGGTGCAGTAAATTTTAAATTATTGAAGATAATGTTAAAGGTATATTAAATTATTATTATTACTCTATATTAAAGTTATGGGTGAATGAAAGTTTGAAGTACTCCATCCGTCCCAAAAACAACTTCCCACTTTCCTTAAATGGATGTTCCAAAATTAACTTCACACTTCAATACTTTCCTTATTTGGCAAATTATCTACATCAAAAAAGTGATAAACAATGTCAAACAATGTTTAAACAGTGCCAAACAGTGTTTAAACAGTGCCAAACAGTGTTTAAACAGTGCAAAACAGTGCACTCTACAGTAAAGTCAAATTTATTTTCTAAAAGTGTGTGAAAGTCCAACTGGGAAGTTGTTTTCGGGACGGAGGGAGTAGAAAGTTATGAGTGAATGAATTAAGTCCTGTTGGCCCTCTTGTCCTATTGATGTTTATTACTCCGCATTCCGCAAGTACATGGTACTGCTTACGTTTTTTTGAGTTTTTTTCCGTATTAATGTTAATTAATTAATTAATTAATTACGAAAATAGGGCTGGGTTAAAAGTATATACCAAAATACTGCTGGGTTAACCATGGTCGGGGGTAAGTCGCCCAACGGTTGGGCGACTTATAAGTCGCCAAACGGTTTGGCGACTTATAAGTCGCCCAACCGTTGGGCGACTTACGCTTAAGTAAATTCAGCGGCCAGACCCAAAAACAGAACTCATCGAGACATTATCCCCAAATCCCCCAAACTGCAGCCGACGGACGAACGAAGAGGACGAACGACGCGAGAGCCACTCGAACTCCGGCGACCCCACTCCGGCCAACCTCCATCTTCATCTTCAACACTCTTTACTCCTTATTCTAGGTAAATTCAAATCCATTTCATCTAATTTTGCACCTAGGGTTTAGAATGTTAAATTTTTTGAATTTTGGGATTATGAATTGATTGTGAATGAAGTTGTTGTGAAATGTCGAATTGTAAATTGTTTGTGAATTTTGACTTTTGGATATATTACAATTTTGGTAGTTTTTTCTATTGAAAATTTGAATGTGTTTAAAGTGTGTATATTGATGCCTACTCATGAATGTTGGACAATGAATTGTTATTAGAATATGGATTTCTCAAGCTTCCCAATCATATGTCATTGGGGAGGGAACTATTATGAGGATGCTGGGCAAATATGCCTAGAAGGTGGTAGAACCAGCTTTGTCATGGTTTCTCGTGGCGCTTGCATGCTGGAGATCCTTCAAAAAATACATGCAGCCACAATGATTCATCCTAGCCGTTCTTTGCGGTTGAAAATGAAATTTCCCATGAACGGGGGAAAGTACATGCTTATGCCGCTCATTGATGAGCTAGCTATAACTAATATGTGGGGCATTATTCAGATGGAGGATATGTCAACGCTGGAGATATACATTGAGGAATCCAGTGACACTTATGGTACTCAATCAACATCAAATGCTGTTTTATATAGGCATGATGTCAATGCAGGGGTTAATGCAGGGAACTCCTCAAAGGCTCCTGTACTAGACATGGTGATACAGGAGGATGGTAGGTATTTGCACAACGGTGCATCATTTGTGGATGGACAGAGAAGTGATGATGATGCAGACGACAACATTAATGGTGATGACATGACAGAATCTGATGAAGATGATGGTGATACAGTGACGTCAACTGCCCCGTCTAGCCATTTTACTAGAATGTATGATCTCCCTGAAGGTTTTACTGATGCGTGGATGAGTGGATCAGGTGAGAAAAGGTTTACCCCCGATGGTGAGTTTGAGGTCGGTCAACAGTTTGACAACAAAGAACAAGTCATCAATATGGTGAGCTTGTATTCTATCAAACGGAACCAATTCTATCGGGTGATAGAGTCCGATAAACACAAATGGGTGGCACAATGCAAAAGGAAGAAAGAATGTCATTGCCCCTGGAGAATACGCGCCACAAAGAACAAAGGCAACCTTGACACCTTCACAATTGTGCGTTATTCTGGACCTCATTCTGCTTCTTGTGTAGGCAACATCGACACTACAGATCACGTGGCCTTGACATCAGAATTCATCTGTAAAGATGTGGTTGACATTATTCGCACTGATCCTTCTCTTAAAGTGCATACTATCATCGAGATGTTGAAGGAAAAATATGGGTATACGGTATCTTACCGGAGAACATGGATGGGGAAGCAAAAGGCCATAGCACAAATATTTGGCGGTTGGGAAAAGTCATATTTCGAATTGCCCCGTTTCATGACAGCGCTCCAACATTCTAATCCAGGAACTGTTGTTCAGTGGTACCCACCCCCCAAAGGTTCCACAGGTTATATGATGTTTCAAAGAGTTTTTTGGGCATTCAAGGCATCAATATCTGGTTTTAAGCATTGTCGACCCGTACTTACTATTGATGGCACACACATGTATGGAAAGTACAAGGGTACATTGCTCGTGGCCATGGGTTGTGATGCGAACAACCAAATTTTCCCAGTCGCCTTTGCAGTTGTTGAATCCGAGAATGGAGATAGTTGGCCATGGTTTATGGCATGTATTAGGCAGTTTGTGACTGACAGGGAGTTGTGTGTCATTTCAGATAGACATGGAGGTATTCTCAGGGCAATGAATGAGGTGGGCAGTACATGGGAGGAGCCTTATGCGCATCATAGGCTTTGCATCCGCCATCTTGCATCTAATGTGCATACTCATTTCAAAGACATTCATTTAAAAAATCTTTTTGTGTGGACCGCACGGCAACATCAGAAAAAAAAATTTGATGGTGGGCTCAAGAAGATAGGTGAAATGAGTAGGGATGCACGCCATTTTTTGGCCAACATTCCTCCAGAAATGTGGTCGCTGCACCACGATGGCGGGTACAGATACGGTACCATCACTTCAAATCTAGCTGAGGTTTTCAATAGCGTCATGAAAAATGCTAGATATTTGCCCATTACCGCGTTGGTCCAGGTGTCTTTTTACCGGGTTAATGCCTACTTTGTGCATAGGCGTGAAAGCAGTAAATTGAGGCTCACACAAGGCCACGAGTACTCCCCACACATCACAGATTTAATTGAAAAAAATAGAGAGAAGGCAAAGCATCACATTGTCACTCCATTTGATTTAGGGAGAGGTATATTTCAGGTGGAAACCGGTTGTGGTGGCCGAACGTTGGGAAAGGGTGGGAGAAAACAAACTGTCCACCTACAACGGAAAACATGCACTTGTAAAAAGATGCAGATATACAAAATTCCATGCTCTCATGTATTAGCCGTGTGTAGACAACGTAGTTTGTCTTATGCTCCTTTTGTGGATAAGTTCTTCTCATCTGACCAATACGCCGCCACATATCATAGGGTGTTCAAACCGATTCCTGATCGTGATTATTGGCCAAATTACAATGGACCCGAAATCGTGCACGATCCATCCATGCTTCGGGCAAAGGGAAGACCAAAGTCGACCCGTATTAAGAATGAGATGGATGAAGGTCCACGAGGAACGGTTAGATGTGGAAAATGCCACCAAACCGGCCATAATAGAGCGACATGTGCGAAAAGATCGTCTAGACAAGAGGGGGGGTCCGCCGGGTAATGTTCTATTTAGAGTCAATCATAAATCATCTTTTCCTTGCAAGGAAACTTAATCATTTCAAAAAGGAATGTTAAAAAAAAAGTAATACATTATACAATTAGAACTAATACAAATGTTATTTGTTTGTAGGCATGGAGGTGATAGCGGATCCTGGGTCGAGTGATCGTTCTGTCCTGACATTGCAGGCCTCACACAGGAGTGAGGATGTTTGGCTTGGCATGGATGTCCAGGTTGATAGGTGCCGCGAGCACCTGCGGGGTTTGTCCCATTTACATGTCGACCCCAGAGTCCTAGCCTATGTTCGGGCTGCTGGTTTTTTTACACTGCACAGATTAGTGGCTACTGTGCCTCTTGATAGAGCCCTTCTCACTGCTCTACTTGAGCGTTGGAGGCAGGAGACACACTCATTTCACCTCCCTGTTGGTGAGGTGACTGTGACATTGGGAGATGTGGCTGTACTCACCGGGTTAGAGGTTCATGGGAGAGCTGTTACAGGCACTGCTTGTCGACAGTGGGTTGATGAGTGTGAGCGGTTGTTAGGTATCCGCCCCGTTCTTAGGACTGACCTTCAGGGGTCATCTCTTAGGATGCCGTGGTTGAGGGAGCACTTCCAGGTCCTTCCTCCCGACGCTGATGAGGTGATCATCCAGCAGCATGCTCGGGCGTATATATTGATGATGATGGGAGCCTCCATTTTCGCTGACAAGAGCGGAAATGAGGTTCAGGTGCTACACTTGCCTTTGCTGGAGAGGTTTGATGTAGCAGCACAGTTCAGCTGGGGTAGTGCCACCCTGGCTTATCTATACAGGCAGCTGTGTCGCGGCTGCCAGAGAGGGAGCACAGAGCTGAGGGGATTTTTGCTACTCCTCCAGATTTGGTCATGGGAGTATATCCACATTGGCCGTCCCATTATAGTCGGATATCATGGCATTGATGGACAGCCACTGCCTGATGAGCCTCCACGTCTTCTAGGACCACATCATGTACGGGGCGAGGACCCTCTAGGCCGTCGGTATGTTTTCAATCCTTTGTATTTATGTGAGTATTTGTTGAATGTTAATAAATTAATAATATCCATATTATTGATATTGTTACATGAATGGTTAGGTGGCTATATGCTGGTCTATCTCGCATGTCATCCGCTACTGGGCTCGGTGTGTACAGGGATGCATTGGATCGGATGTCTGAGGACCAGGTATGGTATATGTAGTATAACATTAACTAGAATAGGTGTAGAATAAATAATAATTTTGTATGTTTACGAAACAGATCACATGGATGCCGTTTAGACCTGATATGTTAGCAGAGTTGCCCCCAGCTGGACGAGAGCATACTCACATCTAGCGAGCACGTGTCCCGTTGATATGTTTTGACATTGTTGAGCTTCATTTGCCTGATAGAGTCATGCGACAGTTTGGGTTTGAGCAGGTCGTTCCACGTCCTATCGACACTTATGTAGAGCTGCATAAGCTGGATAGGCGTGGGAAGCATACAGAGGATTGGGCACTCAGACATGTCCGATACGTGACTATGTGGGAAAGGAGAGCTGAGCTAGCTGTGGTTGGGACACCCACATATGTGCCATCTGTTTCAGGAGACTACATGGGATGGTACTACAACATCACTCGGTTATTTGTGTCTCCTTCGTTCAGACTCCCTACTCATCATTATCAGCCTAGCTCCTTGCCTTTGCATCTTACGGTGAGTATATTAGTAAGTAGTAAAGTAAGTCATTTTATTTATGTAATACCTGTATGTATTTGAATGTAATTGTAATTGTGTTTCATATTTCAGACACGAGCTTTGCAGCGCATACATCAGCGGGCTACTACCACTGTGACTGATATTCCTGATGTGGACATGTATGGACAGGCTCTGACAGGCATTGCCTCGTTGTGCTCAGATGTGTTGGGCCGAGTAGACTACGGACATCTTATACAAATGCCCCCATCTCAGGAGATGGCATCCACGTCTAGTGCAGCCGCAGCTTCATCATCCCAGACGCAACATGAGAGAGTGGTTCTTCAACCACGACAACGCCGTAGGCGTAGACATGAGCAGCAACATCTCCATGACGAAGCTGATGATGAGAACTTGTAGTTTGTCTTTTGTATTGTAGTTTTTCTTATGCAGTAGATGTTGTACGAACAATGTACAAGTTTTGATGTATTTTGTCTTGTTAAGTATTGTATGGTGTATTGATGTGTTCGAGTATGAATATTAGATGATTACTTGTTATGGCATATATGATGATTGTATTGTGTTATTCCGGTTATGATTTGAAGGTTTTTTACGGGTGTTTATAAGGTGTTTTTAATATTGTTGAGAGTAGGTCATTGTGAAGACGTGTGTTGTATGTTTTATAATGTGTTGTATCTAGTTCGTAATACTTTAACAGGAGAAGGGAGACCTTATTTATAGCAAACAGATGAGTCTGGGTTGAATCGGGGCGAAAAACCTGATGAAATGCTGTTTTCGGACATAGGCACGATCGTGCGTACCCTTGTAGGTACGATCGTGCCTGGCTGGCAGTAGCTGCTCGCCTTCAACCATATTTTAGGGGTAAGTCGCCCAACCGTTGGGCGACTTATAAGTCGCCAAACCGTTTGGCGACTTATAAGTCGCCCAACGGTTGGGCGACTTACCCCTGACCGTGGTTAAGGGCCAGCAGTATTTTGGTAAATACTTTTATTCCAGCATTATTTCCGTAATTAATTAATTAATTAACATTAATTCGAAAAAAAACTCCGTTTTTTTTTTTCGTTTGATTTTTTTTAGGATTCTAGAATAAACAAGTCCGTGACACCACGCTGATATATGCATGTAACCTTTTTTGTCGGTCAAACTTGAAGTTGCTTAGAAGCCATTACCTTTGAAGCCTATTTTCACTTAGTTTCACTGCCAGGTTGCTCTGAGGCTTTGACTTCAATCAGTTCAGGCATGCACACAATGAAGCTGTTTTCTCAAAATTATTGAACGCACACGTTTATGCTGTGCGTTGAGGTCGATTGTCAAATGCCAACTAGTCTGTGTTTCACGATTTTTCTCAAAAATTTACTTTCGAAACACTTGAAAGGCGTCCCGTCAATTTCCAAAACTCATAGTAGTACACCTTGAGCCCGTTTGGTAGCACGAAAATCGGCTGATTTGACTGATATTGCTGAAATTTATGAAGTTTTGACTGAAATGACTGCATTGGCTGATTCTGCTGATTTAAGAAAAAATTATTTTTAAAATATATTTTATTAATAAAATAAAAAAAAATTATATTTAAAAATAGCAAAAATGATCATCTACAGTAACTTCAGCCAAAACAGCCAGAAAAGTAACTCCAACCTCACTTTTTCTGTTTATTACACAATTCAGCGCGCGAAAGCAAAAGTTACGTGTTTGGTGAAAAAATTGACTAATAAGCCTGATAAGCCGAAAAAAGGTGTGGCCAAACGGCACCCTTATGTTTTGATGCTTTTGTTTAAAAACAACTGTTTTTACTCATTGAAAAAAGTAGCTTTATACATTTTGTTTTTTAAAGGCACTTTTGTCAATGTATTTCATAATCTCGTTTAAGTTATTAAAAAAAACATGAATGATTTTGAACGGGCTGTAAACCATTATATTGTTGATTACTTGATTGCCTGAGAAACTAGAAGTAAACTATACATACCACTTACATATAGCATAACCACTCATAAGGTGTTGTTAAGGACTTAAGGGGATTTAATAGCCAGCTAAATAGCCAATGTCCCTCTACCCCAAAAAGGAGAGACTAGTGAACATACTACAGTTCAAGTTAAAGGACACCTGAACTGATAATCAGTTTATCTCAGTAATGATAAGAAGTCATATGTTTAGAACTCAAACATAGTTGGGATGTTAGATACCACCAGCTTGCAAACTTGAGGACTACGGTAACCTTCCTCCTGAAGTGCCTCTGCCCGGCAGTAATGGTTTAACATCCTGTTTAGTGAACCAGGTAGAATACAGAAATTGCTTGTTTGGACCTACATGGTTGCACATAAGCTTAATCTTTTGCCTTTGCTTCATCCATCTTAATACTACCTTCATGTGGCTTTTGCTAGTTAATCCTCTCACTCCAACTTCCTAGATTTTGTAAACAACATCATTACCTCAGTGCCGCAAAGGCTTCCACCTATAGTGGAGTAAGGGGCATCGTATGTACGCAACCTTACCCATGTACTTACAAAGAGACTGTTTCTGGATGACCCATGATGAAAATAGTGTTGAAAATTGCATGGACTGACTGATTCTTCATAAGAAAGATGTGCATATAGTTTAGTAAGTCATTTTACTTTATTCGATCATATTCCTAGATTTTGTAAACAAAATAAGAAAATTCAGAGCCTTTTTTGTGACACTAGAGCTGATGTGCAAACATTGTGACTTAAGAGTTTCAAATGGCTGAATTGTATGAATTTTGAAATAATTTAATTTAAAATATAAAACACAGAAAAAAATTGAAGAAAAAAACTCAAAATGTCCCGTTGCACAAATTCAGTCAGAAAGCATCTTGTGTCTTATTTTAGTTATAATACAATTTAGTGAGCAGAATAAAAAATTTAGTGTGGTGCTCATAAGGCCGATGATAAGACAAAATAATGGAGTACCAAACAAGCGCTAAGCCAAATGTTTGCCTAGATGTTTCAATACAACATCTATGGTATCATGTATATGTGAGTAGATAATACAAAAACCATTTGATTACACAACAAATTTAGAAATCATTGGTATATCATACTAAACCTTGTTCCAATAATATAAACCAAGTGTTCTTCAAAGTTAGCATGCATCATATTCAAAAGCGTTCCAGAATTTCAAAATAGGACTGCTATGTTTTTCTTCCTGAAATAGTTCGAGAATTTCAAAATAGGACTGTTATGTTTTTCTTCCAGAATTAGTGTTATGATTGAAAAAGACTGCCATTAATGACAATAAATATTGCCTTGTTAATACCTAGTACTGCAAGTAATTTGACAATAATGACTCAAGATGACAATGAATATTGCCATGTTACTCCTATTTCGGAAGAAAAACAGGGCAATCCTATTTTGGAATTTCTAAACATATTTATTCCTAGTTCGAGAATTTTCCTATTTTTTTTGGTAAATAGATATAGCCCCTTTCCAAGTTAAATGACTCTCAAGCATGAAGAAACATAAATTGCCAATTTTTCACAACTGATCTTTTCTACATTTGACAATCCATCATAATACCTTGTATATTTATAAGACATTAATGAAGGCAATCTAATCCATGCCTATTATACTGGTAGTATCTTTGTCTAGATTCTGAAAGAATTTATTTGTTGCATAGTCCATTTGCAAAGCCTTGTAAAATGAAATTAGGGATTTACCTTCACACGCTCCCACGTATCTGCAATGCTCAAGGGACCATGCTCCTTCAAAATGTCAAAAATTACCCTTGTTAAAGACTGGGTCTGCTCCGGCGGGGTTCTTAGCTCTATTGGTTTCATCTTTGGCTTTGGCTTTCTCGCCACCATATACCTTATCATTGTCCGAAACATGATAGCACCTCTCCTGATCTTTGGAAAACTAGCGATTGACTTTAAATTTGGATGAAGCTCAGGGTTATGTGCATTGGCGCATAAACCTTGCATTTGCACAAACTTACCAAATTAGCCATCATCATCATTCATCATCATTACCCCAATGCCGCAAAGTCTCCAACCTATGGTGGTGTAAGGGGGTCAGATGTACGCAGCCTTACCCCTGTACTAAAGCACAGAGAGGCTATTTCCGGATGACCCATGGTGAAAATTACGTCGATCGTTGCATGAACTGACTGCTACTTCATAACAAAGAAGCGCAAACAGTTTAGTGAACCACTTTGTTTTATTCCATCATATTCTCAAGCCAAAAAATAGTGAATCTTTGGCTCCATTGCAAATGATGGAAAGTTGGCCCATGGAATAAAAATAAAAAACAATAATATCACAAGGACTGACTACTATCAACCCATCAAAAGGAAAAGGGAGTTTGAAGCTCTCGAGTTTCCCATACATTTCCAAGACGAAACGTGAGATCCAACACGAGTTTCCCATACTGGTGAACACTGAGCTATGTTGACAGACTAATGGAAGGGATTAACGGTAAAAGAAAAAAAATTAGGATGTACATTAGGAAAAAACAACAGGAAAGACACTAATAGAGAAGGCTTATTGCACTGCTGAAGCCCAAGAGGCAAGAACTCCTAAAAATCATCCCAACAATCTAAAGAGTATTCCTCCAAAAAATCAAGGCAAGCCTTGATAGTTGCTCCCATAAGCCTCTGCGACATCAATGTGTACACCTAATCTCTTATAACTAGGAATCAGTAGCGTAACTGTGTAAGCCTTGCGCTTTTTAAGACCATAGATTGCCAATATGAATCCCTTGACCATCCTTTCGGTGTTCAATGGTAATTGATGGATACTCACAGAGTTAAGGTCAAGTACTAGACCTAACCCAAGACTTTTAGCACTAGGGAGCAATGCATAAATTGGGATACTATCAATTTTGCAGTCTAAGCTTAATATTTCTGTTAGTCTCAGATCTCTAGAAGTGTTCCTGGAGCAACTTTTTGCCTAATAAACTAATAAATCAAACTCACCTGCAGCTTAATTTACTAATCTTGATGATTGATTTAATTTTCTTGTTATGTTCGTACTTCGTACTGGAATGTTGAAGCCATGAGACACATTTGAGGAATAAATTTGATATCGTTATTTAAAGAAGCTCTTGTGCATAGGTGTTTTCTATTACAGTTTCTGTCAACCTAGAAAAGAAGTACAGAGAATATAATTTTCAATGCAAAATCAGATGTGGTCGACAGAAAGTGCTATAAAGGAACAAACTATGTCATCCAAAAAAGACTTCACAATTTTGAATAGAGGTTCATTGATCATAAAGCTATCATAAAAGAAGGAACATTTAGAAACAATGGTTAAACATAAACTATGATGTATTTAAATCTACAAATCTTGATTTTAAACATAATTAACTAGGAGCATAGCCTTGCTACATTCTAACATTTAACCATTTAGATTTCTCTTTAAATATTTAAA